ATATAAAGTTCCTTTTTTGTCACTTTTTCACGTTTCTTTCGTAAAAACAATGATTGACATTGAAGGCGACAGTCCGCTTACGTCAAGTGTTCTTCGTTTTGTACTTGGTTAAATATTTTACCTTGTTTTTCCGCTCCCTTGTAATTCAGATATAAATATCACTTATTTATCTTCCACGTTATTCCTTTTCATTGCCTATTCTTATTGATTTTTCTTCTTTTTTGCGTCTTATCTCATGTACTGACGTCATCACTTTCTCCAAAAACGTCTGGTCGAAAGGAATGACGTTGTCTGCGTGTTTTCGTTGTTGTTTTGGATCCGACCTTCCTTCCGTGCGTCAGCGGCTCATCGAGTTACTTACATAACCTCATTTGTAATATTATTTTGTTTATATTATTGCTTCTGTGCCGAATCAAAACATTGCTATTGTTGTTAACTATACATTTTTAACAACAGCAATATGAAACAGTTATAATAATGATACTGATACTGATATTGATAGCAGTACTAGTAGTGATAGCAGTAGTAATAATAGTAGAAGTGATAATAAAAATGCTAGAAATAACAGTAACGCTTATGATAATGATAAAACCGGTGACAAGTAGTCATAGTAACAACAACAATAACAACGACAACAACAACAATAATAATAATGATAAAGAACATCAGAACATATAGATCATATGGAACCTAATAATGATACTGGTAATGACAATGAAAATGACAACGATAATAATAACGATAATAAAAGTAATGATGACAGATAACAGCAACAACAACACTGTTACAGCAGGCGGATGACCCTTTCATCTGAAGCCCGTATCCTATAAGTAGTGGAAAGGGCGTTGTCCAAGAGGAGGCGCTTGGGGAGGGAGAGCTCTCGAAAGGGGAAAGGAACACAGCCATAAACTCTGCGCACTTCAAGAGCGTCTTTGGCAGAGTTTCTCTCTCAATGAGCTCTTTTAGAAGCTAACGGCAAGCGCCTTTTATCGGTGAAGTATTGTCTAAAAGATGAAAAGAAAATAGTATGGATAACGGATATCTATCTTTGATAAGAGCAAAAGCTTGGCACCAAGGCACCTACAGTGTTGATGACGAATTAGAATTAGGCACTCCACAAGGGGCATTGTTCCCTACGCTGGTGGATATCCTTATCCACTCTCCATTCGTACTCGTGCTACTTCTCATACTCGTCCTACAGCCTTGATTTGTTCTACTGCTACTCACACTACTACTTGTACTACAACTCATACTCCCAGTACTACTCGTACTCCTACTACTACTTGTCCTTGCACTGCAACTCGTACTTACACTAGTACTCGTACTCCCGCCACTACTCGTACTCGCGCTGTTATTATTAGTAATAACAATGATAATAATAATAATGATAATAAATAATAATACATTCATAATAATAATGATGATTCTGATGATGATAACAGAAATCATGATAATAATAATAACAAAGAAATAATGATATAACAATAATGAAAACAGTATATGAGTAAAATGGATTTTGTATTTCCCATTAATGAAGATAGATACAGTAAATGGACTGCAATTTCATTCCTTGCTCACGAAGGGGTATTAATTGCAACATTCAATCGTCGTTAGTTCCAGGATATTCTTGCAGTCCAATTGCTGTAGTTCTGCAGGACAGTTCAGGCTGAGTCAGGCCCCTGCCCCTTCCCTTCTGGGGACATGAGTCGGTCAGCATCTGGATCTGGGCGCCCATCCTGGTGTCATCACTGGATTCCTGACTGTTTGGTCACTATCAGCATCTTCATCATCTTCACCATCTTATCATCATTATTGTTATCATCATTGTTACTGTCATCATTATTTTTATTATAGTTATTATTATCATCATCCTCATCACCACCACTTTTATCGATATTATTGTTATCATTATCATCATCACCACTTTTATCGATGTTATTATTATTATCTTTGTTATTATTAACATTGTTATTGTTATTATTAGTAGTAGTATTATCATTATCATGACCAACACCACTTTTATCATTATCATCGTTATTATTAACATTGTTATTATTATTATTGTTGATAAAAAAATGGTGATTGATAATGCTTATCATAATCACCTTCATTATTATTACTATTATTATTATTGTAAGTGTTATTGTTATTGTCATTATTATCATTTTCATCATTATCATCATTATTACCTTTATCATTATTATAAGTATATTGTTTTCTATTATCATTATCATCATCATTATCATTACTATCATTAATGATCATAGTATTATTAGTAGTTTATCAGTTTTATCTTTTTGTGGTTTTATTCCTTAGCAAAGGATTTTGTGCGTCAACGAATGCATCCCACAATTCCTTGAAGCATCCGTCCGAAAGCCTTGACTTTGACTTCTGTCGAGGATGGAGCTGGTCTGAATTCTTATCAATCGTTTCCCTTCCTGTATGGCCGACGGCTTTATATGATGATACAGACGCAAGTAAAAATGATGAAGTTAGGAAGGCATTCCAGGCATTCCGCGTGACCATTCAAGTCCTTTGCAATTTGTCGACACAAGCATGGCCTCGGATGCCGTGGTCGCTGGCTGAGGGCGCAAGACCTTTAAGAGCAATAATGCATTTAACAGCATCCATTTCAGACGGGATTGACATTATTTAAATAAGTTAGTTTAGAGCGTATGTGAGTTTAAGTCATAGCAAATGCGATTTTTGGTTTAATTTTGCAAAAAAAAAAAAAAAAAAAGTTAGTTTCTGTTCTGAATATTTATCACTAAAAGTGACATTTTTCAATGTTTATACGTACAAACATACATTGAATGTACAATATCGTTAATAAAGCATTAATTCAAAGTCAGTCAGAAAAGAATAAAGGGAATTGACGCTAAGATTAATGATGTAACTAACAACTGCATTTGGAAGACCCACTGCACCTTATCATTGAAGATATTTCTAATTTCTAACGCTCCAGTCAAAGTAGTACGATTTCTAAGTAGCATGAGATTTATAGGAATCAAAATCACATCTTTGAAAATCCTATTCATATCAAAGGAGTAGGAGCATAAGTAGCAGTATAAGTATGAGTAGTAGCAGGAGTAGGATTAGTAGTACGAGTACGAGCAGCAGTATGAGTACAAGCAATAGTACAAGTAGTAATACAAGTAGTAGTATGATTACAAGTACAAATAGTAATGCTAATGGTACAAGTTAAAGTACAAGTAGTAATACGAGTAGTGGGTATAGTAGGACTGCAAGGAGTAGTAGTACTAGTAGTAGTACGAGTATGAGTAGCAGTAAGAGTACAGGTAGTAGTGTGAGTACGAGTAGTGGTGATAGTAGTAGGAGTACAAATAGTAGTACGTACAGTAGTACGAGTACGAGTAGCAGTTTGAGCTTGAGTAGTAGTACAAGTACAAACAGTAGTACGAGTAAAGTAAGTAGTTGTTCCATAAGTAGTAGTAATAGCACGAGTAATAGTAGCTTTGAGTAATAGTCACAGTACGAGTACCAAGTAGCAGTACGAGTTCGAGTAGCAGTACGGGCACGGCGTCCGAGGTCGTACTTGTGTCGGAAAATTGCAAAGGACTTAAATTCCTGGAATGCCATCCTAACTTTTCTCCCTTTCATCTTTTTTCTTGCGTTTGTATTATCATAAAAAGCCGCCGCGTATACAGGAAAGAAAACGATTGATAAGAATTCTATAGATGAGGAAATGCAATCCTTCATATCCATGCATGGGCATAATATAAGTTCCTTTTTTGTCACTTTTTCACGTTTCTTTCGTAAAAACAATGATTGACATTGAAGGCGACAGTCCGCTTACGTCAAGTGTTCTTCCCGTTAGTCCTTTTTATTGCCTATTCTTATTGATTTTTCTTCTTTTTTTGCGTCTTATCTCATGTACTGACGTCATCACTTTCTCCAAAAACGTCTGGTCGAAGGAATGACGTTGTCTGCGTGTTTTGTTGTTGTTTTATCCGACCTTCCTTCCGTGCGTCAGCGGCTCATCGAGTTACTTACATAACCTCATTTGTAATATTATTTTGTTTATATTATTGCTTCTGTGCCGAATCAAAACCTAATAGTGACACGTAATGACAATGAAAATGACAACGATACTAATAACGATAATAAAAGGAATGATGACAGATAACAGCAACAACAACACTGTTACAGCAGCGGATGACCATTTCATCTGAAGCCCGTATCCTATAAGTGGGAAGGGCGTTGTCCAAGTGGAGGCGCTTGGGGAGGGAGATCTCGAAAGGGGAAAGGAACACAGCCGTAAACTCTGCGCACTTCAAGAGCGTCTTTGGCAGAGTTTCTCTCAATGAGCTCTTTTAAAGCTAACGGAAAGCGCCTTTTATCGGTGAAGTAGTGTCTAAAAAGATGAAAAGGAAAATAGTATGGATAACGGATATCTATCTTTGATAAGAGCAAAAGCTTGCACCAAGGCACCTACAGTGTTGATGATGAATCAGAATTAGGCACTCCACAAGGGGCATTGTTCCCTATGCTGGTGGATATCCTTATCCACTCTCCATTCGTACTCGTGCTACTTCTCATACTTGTCCTACAGCCTTGATTTCTACTGCTACTCACACTACTACTTACTACAACTCATACTCCCAGTACTACTCGTACTCCTACTACTACTTGTCCTTGCACTGCAACTCGTACTTACACTAGTACTCGTACTCCCGCCACTACTCGTACTCGCGCTGTTTAATAGTAATAACAATGATAATAATAATAATAATGATAATAAAATAATTACATTCATAATAATAATGATGATTCTGATGATGATAACAGAAATCATGAAATAATAATAACAAAGAAATATGATAATAACAATAATGAAACAGTATATGAGTAAAAATGGATTTTGTATTTCCAATTTCAATTTCATTCCTTGCTCACGAAGGGGTATTAATTGCAACATTCAATCGTCGTTAGTTCCAGGATATTCTTGCAGTCCAATTGCTGTAGTTCTGCAGGACAGTTCAGGCTGAGTCAGGCCCCTGCCCCTTCCCTTCTGGGGACATGAAGCCGGTCAGCATCTGGATCTGGGCGCCGCATCCTGTTGCATAATCGCAGTTTACGGAGTTTTGTGTCTGTTCTATATAGTGCTGTCTAATAGGTTCCAGTTGCATATAGCCATTGAAGCCATATGCAAGGGCATAGAGTGCTTCTATCCTGTTAGCGGAGTTTATTTCTGTCTTCGAGACAGCCTGTGCCCTCCGGTAGCATTCCCTTTCAGCCTTCTCCTTCTTGTTAGCATGCTGCACCTCGTTCCCTCGTTCGTAGCAAGGTATTTGTGTGTGTCTCCCTGTTCCAGATTCCTTATTGCGTCATTTCTGTCGAGATTCACGTTCGACGATTGAACTTTCCTTCCTCTCTTCACCCGCCTCTGCGCATGCGTCCAGGCCGAAGGGCGTGGCGGTGTCATCGCTGGATTCCTGACTGTTTGCTCACTATCAGCATCTTCATCATCTTCACCATCATCATCATTATTATCATTATTGTTATCATCATTGTTATTGTCATCATATTTTTATTATAGTTATTATTATCATATCCTCATCACCACCACTTTTATCGATACTATTGTTATTATTATCATCACCACCACCACTTTCATCGATATTATTATTATTATCATTGTTATCATTAACATTGTTATTATTATTATTATTATTACTTGTGTCGGAAAATTGGAAAGGACTTAAATTCCTGGAATGCCATCCTAACTCTTCTCCCTTTCATCTTTTTTCTTGCGTTTGTATTATCATAAAAAGCCGCCGCGTATACAGGAAAGAAAACGATTTGATAAGAATTCTATAGATGAGGAAATGCAATCCTTTATATTCATGCATGGGCATAATATAAAGTTCCTTTTTTGTCACTTTTTCACGTTTCTTTCGTAAAAACAATGATTGACATTGAAGGCGAGTCCGCTTACGTCAAGTGTTCTTCCTTTTGTACTTGGTTAAATATTTTACCTTGTTTTTCCGCTCCCTTGTAATCCAAATATAAATATCACTTATTTATCTTCCACGTTATTCCTTTTCATTACCTATCTTATTGATTTTTCTTATTTTTTGCGTCTTATCTCATGTACTGACGTCATCACTTTCTCCAAAAACGTCTGGTCGAAGGAATGACGCTGTCTGCGTGTTTTCGTTGTTGTTTTGGATCCGACCTTCCTTCCGTGCGTCAGCGGCTCATCGAGTTACTTACATAACCTCATTTGTAATATTATTTTGTTTATATTATTGCTTCTGTGCCGAATCAAAACATTGCTATTGTTGTTAACTGTACATTTTTAACAACAGCAATATGAAACAGTTATAATAATGATACTGATACTGATAGCAGTACTAGTAGTGATAGCAGTAGTAATAATAGTAGAAGTGATAATAAAAATGCTAGAAATAACAGTAACGCTTATGATAATGATAAAACCGGTGACAAGTCATAGTAAACAAACAATAACAACGACAACAACAACAATAATAATAATGGTAAAGAACATATAGATCATATAGAACCTAACAATGATACTGGTAATGACAATGAAAATGACAACGATAATAATAACGATAATAAAAGTAATGATGACAGATAACAGCAACAACAACACTGTTACAGCAGGCGGATGACCATTTCATCTGAAGCCGCGTCCTATAGTAAGTGGAAAGGGCGTTGTCCAAGAGGAGGCGCTTGGGGAGGGAGATCTCGAAAGGGGAAAGGAACACAGCCGTAAACTCTGCGCACTTCAAGAGTCTTTGGCAGAGTTTCTCTCTCAATGAACTCTTAGAAGCTAACGGAAAGCGTCTTTTATCGGTGAAGTAGTGTCTAAAACGATGAAAAGGAAAATAGTATGGATAACGGATATCTATCTTTGATAAGAGCAAAAGCTTGGCACCAAGGCACCTACAGTGTTGATGACGAATTAGAATTAGGCACTCCACAAGGGCCATTGTTCCCTATGTTGGTGGATATCCTTATCTACTCTCCATTCGTACTCGTGCTACTTCTCATACGCGTCCTACAGCCTTGATTTGTTCTACTGCTACTCACACTACTACTTGTAATACAACTCATACTCCCAGTACTACTCGTACTCCCGCTGCTACTCGTACTCGCACTACTATTTGTATTTGCATTACTACTCGGGCTACTTGTACTATTACCCATACTACTCTTAATATCACTCGTACTACTATTCTTACTACTTGTAGTCCCTCTTGCAGGAATCATAATACTAATCGCACCCACACCGCTACTCGTAATACTACTCATACTTGCATTATTACTCACACTCGCACTAGTACTGTACTACAATATTAATCCTACCACTACTCATAGTTATACTGATATCCGTACTCGTACTACTACTCATACTTGCACTACTTCTCGTACTACTCGTACAATTATTTGTACTTGTACCACTGCCTGTACTCACTACCTGTACTGATAATACTGCCCGTACTTGTAAAACTGTCCATACCCACCCACCTGTATTTGCACTACTACTCATACTACTAGTCGAATTAGTACTATTAGTCGTACTATTTGTCCTACTCACATTACTACTTATACTACTTGTATTACTACTCGAACTTACACTACTACTATTACTCACACTACTCATACCCACACTCCTACTCGTACTTACAATACTGCTTATACTTTACTACTCCTCACACTCACACTATTACTCATATTGGCACTACTATTTGTACTACCTATACTGCTACTTGCACTCTCACTACCCTTACTGCTACTCGTACTGGCACTACTACCTGTACTACTCTTACTACTTCCCGTACGACTTGTCCTACTACTTATACTAACATTACTACTCACACTCACACTACTACCCATACTACTGTTTGTACTACTTGTACTTGCAGTTCTACTCATATTAATCGTACTTCTCACACTCCTCGCACTTGCACTACTACTCTTACTCTACTACCCGTACTATTTGTACTATTACTCGCACTAGCACTACTACTCATACTCGCACTACTACTCGTGCTACTCATGCTACTACTTGAATTACTTGTACTACTATTTGTACTACTACTACTTGCACTCGCACTAATACTCATACTGCTACTCTTACTACTTGTACTACTACTTGTGCTATTCATACTACTTCTCACACTTGCACTACTACTCCGACTATTATCATCATCATTATCATTAATGATATTACTTTTATCACTACTCGCACTTGCACTATTACTATTATTACTACTCGCATTACTACTCATACTCACACTATTCGTACTCGATTACTACTAGTACTTCTATTATTATGTATACTTCTACAACTACTCAAACTCTTACTACTACCCATTCTCCTACTACTACTCATACTCAAACTACCACTTGTACTGCTACTTGTACTCATACTACTACTTGTATTCATACTATTACTCCTACTAATACTTATACTCCTATTACAACTCATAATACTACTCGTACTGCTACTTGTACTTATACTACTTGTTCTACTATATGCCTACTGTTATTTCTAGTACTACTCGTATTCGTAATATTACTCCTTACTCCTACTACTACCCACACTCGTACTACTTCTTGTACTAGTACAAGTACTCTTACTCGTAATCCTACTGCTATTCGTACTACTACTGGTACTTCTTTAATCTATTCTGATTTACTTTGAATTTATGCTTTATTAACTAT